TTCATACATAAGGAAAGGGGCTTAGAAGTCTAAGTCAAGGTCTGGTGAAATCAAGATTTGAATCTAGTCTCAGACTGTCTTTAAAATCCTTATAATTAATCACTATGCCTTCAATAATTACTCTGTACTATTAAATAGCTTAGTACTTAGAAACAATATCGACTTATTTGGTAATTGTAAGGATTAAGTAACATTAACCATGGTAGTATAGCATTGGGTCATAGAGTTTGTATGTATTGCATTCACACTTTTCCATGACTGCATATTTAATCAGGGACCCTAATGGCTCTTGGATGCAATAACCTTACAGTGTGTGGGCTTTTTGTTCATTTTTACTGTTTGCATTTGACTGCCTAATTGACGAGTCAGATCTAACACATATGTTAATACAGAGCTTTATGAAGTCAGCTGTCTAGGAATGTGTTGTCATTCAGCAGTTTGTATTATTGTCTCTAAACACACACCCACATTTTGTCTGGAAAGCAAGAACTAAATGCCTTAAGTTTGTAGCATATGTTATTGAATGAATGACGGTGTCCTGATACTGACTTACAGGGCATTTGATTTTTGTCAGTATTTGATAGCATGTGAGTAAATAGTGAGGCACATAAGCCAGAGCAATCCAGTTGCCAAAGTGGTAGTACCTAACAGTCCTAACTTTAATGGTGTGGATATTTTGCTGGTAAAACTTTAAACAAGTGGCCGTTTCTAGCATCCATTTTGGGAAAGAGAGTGGATACCAGTGAAAACAAGTACAAATATTAAAAACAAGAACTTAAAAGATTATATTGACCCACTAATAGCTTCTCCACTATTCCTTAATGTTTGGATTTCTCGGAATGAACAGTAGAACCTTTTCTTTAAAAGCTAGGTGTTTATTTCTCAGTGATGGATTTAGATACAGGAACAGATGGAAAATATTCATTATTTAGACTTATACCCCACCTAAGAAAATGGAAATCCACAGTATTAGGCTTAACTGAACACCAACTGAAAAGCAGTACTCCCTTTTCAATGATGGTGGTGCTCTTTACTCACTCATTGTGACAACCAACACTCTTTCATCATCCTTGTCTTACTCTGTTGTTACTGCTATGACAAAATACATAGCACTAGGTAACAGTTCCGAAGGCTAAATCCGTAATGGGTTCTGGGTTAAACAAGTGGTGAGGTCTATATCCTCACATGGCAAAAGGTGTTATAAGAAAAGCTCTTATAAGAAAGGCAGCATTAATCAATCCATGAGATTGATTATGTTATAAGAAAAGCTCTTATAAGAAAGGCAGCATTAATCAATCCATGAGGCTCCATCCTCATGACATGAAAACCTCCCATTTAAGTCTCAGCCTCTCAATGTGTGCATTGAGAATTAGCAGCATATGAATTCTCATATCATGCACTACAGATACTGTGGATTCCATTACAACCACTGGCCTATATGGAGAATGTGAAAGGGCCCTAAAAAATAAAGATTTACAAAATAGAATTGACTCAAAATTGTGACGCCATTGTATGGGAGAGTTAAGCAAATGTCATCTGCTATCATGGCCAAGTGTTGGTGATAGAATGGGGTGGGGGTGGGGAACAAGGAACAGGAAGCAGGACTTGGATGAGATTTGAGTGCTGGGATGGCGTGTAGATACCAGTTGCTGAAACTATAGATGACACTGCCAGAGCAAATGGAGGGCAAGGGAGACAACCAGAACCTGGAAGGACATTAATATCAGAGCAAAGATAGAGTCATTGTATTAGTTTCAGAAAACTAATGAATGTAGAGGAAGGCAACTGGTGGGGAACACAAGGCAAAGCAAGAAGTAGTGGACACAGTCACAAGTTGAGCTTGCAATGCTCTGAGTGTTTGTTGTAGCATGACGTGATGTGTTAGATTATACTGCCCTTTTCAAATTACCCTTGGCCTCCAGATCCCTAGGATTCAAGCACATCTTACTGATTATGACCATAAATAGACACCTATACTTTTACTGTAGCCTTTAGTTTGAAAAACTTAATCATAATATATAAAGGAAAGGTTTTTGTCCATCATGAATATGTTTCCTGATGTAATTGGATCCTTTGTGGAACTGTTGCCCTGAGTACATGTCATTGCCTGCTTTCTTGGAGTACATTGAATTTGTTTTTATGTTCCTGTTGGGTGGATCAATTAAGAAGGGTAATTATTTCATAACCTTTCCTGAACAGAAGAATCTTATATACATGGTCTCCCTGACAGCTATGTTTTGTGTTGTGACAACACCATAGGACCTTTTAAACCTCCTTTAACCTGGTCACCTCTTCCATGGTTTAGCCAGAGCTGAAAACATCTACATAGCTCCATAGCACTTCCTGCAGAATACCAGATACAGAATACAGGTACAAAAAGATACCCTTCAGAGACAGTTTTGTGTAGCTCACTGTGTATGCAGAGGTAGCCTGTCTGCTCCTACCCCCACCGAGGGTTTAAGGGAATGGTAATAAAGAAAATGATTCAGATTTACATGTCAGTGAGAAGATAGACAGTCTAGCACTCATCCAAACTTTTTTAAAAAGGGGCTTAGAAGTGGATTTGAGTTTCGAGAACCCATAGTGAAGGGCATGTGTTAAACTATTTCTTTGATTGATGAAGTTGTCATTTAATCTGATTTGGGTTGTTTTGGGTTTGGTTTGGGTATTGGGTTTTTGTTTTGGTTTGGTTTGGTTTGGTTTGGTTTTGGTTTTTCAAGACAGGGTTTCTCTGTATTGTTTTGGAGCCTGGCCTGGAACTCGCTCGGTAAACCAGGCTGGCCTGGAACTCATAGAGATGAGCCTGCCTCTGCCTCTGCCTCCTGAGTGCTGGGATTACATGTGTATTCCCCCACTGCCTGGCTCAGAATAGATTTGTAAGATGACAGAAACTGAGATAGGGACTATATTGGCCAGAAGAGACTACATCAAAACCTGTTGAGAAATGGTGTATTTATAATTTAATTGTAGATTTAGCATTAGCATTAAATTTACATGTTCTTTCCCATTTGTTCTTTGTAAACAGACATGCATTTCTCTGTATCATATTAGGGGGGGAAATTCAAAATTTCAAATGAATTATCAACGGTCAAAGGAAGTGTTAAGTTGCTGTGCAGTGGAGGTATTGATGTATCATGCATGTTTGTAGACAGGTTTCTGCCCCGTTCAGTCCCAAATAAACATACAGAGGCTTATATTAATTAAAAACTGTTTGGCCGAGTGCTCAGGCTTCTTAATTGGCTAGCTCTCTCTTAGTTATTAACCCATATCTATTAATCTATGCATGGTCTTGGCTTACTGGAGATTGCCCAGGAAACCTATCTTCCCAGTAGCTATATGACATCTCTCTGATGACTTACTCTTTGCATTCCTTTTCCCAGAATTCTCTTTCTTCATCAACCAATAAGAGAAGCATATTCGTAGCATACAGACCCCCCCCCCCCCCCCTTCTGTCACATGTTTACAAAGGAAAACACAAAACTAGGCTGCAGTATTCCACACCGCCCTCTTGCTGAGTTGGTACAGGGGTGGGAGGTAAGAAGGTACCTGGTGCAGCTAAAAATATGAAATTGAAATTCAATTTGAAAGCCACTAAGAGATATAAGATTTTTCTGAAAAGTATTATCTTAGGTTATTTAATGTCCATTAATACCTTTGGTTCAGCTTTGAAATTTTTAATTTTTCCCATTGCTGGGAATCCAACCCAGGGTTGTGCAAATATTAGGCCCATTCTCTTATCACTGAGCTATACCCACTCCCAGCTCTTCATTTTAGTCCTTTTAATGAAAAAACAAAAAGACAAAAAAGCAAAAACTTGTGACTTGTAACATGTTACTGTGTCAGTCACTCTGGTTGTGCTGTTAGGATTGTTTGTGACAACAGCTCACTCTGTAGCCCTGGCTGCCTGGAGCTTGTATGCCCATCAGGCTTGCTTCTGCCCGCCTCCCAGGTGCTGAAATTATGAGCAGGCCTGGCTGTCCTCCTGAGTTTGTTTAGGATAGCTTTTTACATAGCTGTAGCCCTTCTTCAAATAAAGTAACACTGTGATTTGTGTAGTTGAAATGTTGGTTTCCTCTACCACAAAAAGTTAAGAGCATTGTTCGGTGTTTGCTTAGGGATGGTCACATCTGCACTAGAAAAGTACAAAGTCCATGATGTAAAAACCTTGAGGATCTGTTGGGAGATTGATCCAAAGTGTTACCAAGGTCCTTTCAGCGCTGAAGTACTCAAATTTGTCAAGGAAGTACAGGCATGTAAGGCAAGTCTACTGGGGTATTGTGGGGAGCAGCATAACATCTGGGATAGGAGCATGCTGCTGCTGCCTGCTGCTGCTATTTAGTTGAGCTCCATTGGGCTTTTTGCCTCACTTTCCTCAGCTCTATCGTAGACTGTCAATTGGAGGCATAGTGTTGAAACTAAGGACAAAGTCAGTAGGAACTGGAGCTTGTTTTACCGTGAGCCAGATTGTTAGCCTTACTGACCTCATCTGTAAGGAAACAATAGCGACAGCCAGGGTTGTTTAATGAGTAAAGTACTTAGCATTGGGTCTGGTGGTAGTAGTTGCCCTGTGCGATGTACATGCTGCTGCTGTGTATGTCAGAAGCACCCACAGGCACCGGTTTGGTGGATAGTTAGAGGAACAGAAGATGGGGGGGTGCTTAAAAAAACATAGTGTTTGAAAAGGCCTCTCTTTGTAGCATTATTTTTACACATCTTAATGAGCTTACAGGTTACCAAAACTTAGAACATCGTGTAAAATGGTTTTAAAAACATTTAGTTTATGTGTAAGGGGTTTTGCTTGCTTGTATGTCTACACACCATGTGTTTGAGGAGGCTAGAACAGGGCATCAAATAGTTTTGAGTGCTGGGAACCAAAGCCCAGTCCTCTTAAGTGCTGAGCTGCCTCTGCCCCCAAGATGGTGTTCTTCATAGATTGGAATATAAAAGTGTATCTTTGGTTGACCCTACTTTTCTCACACGATCCTTGTGCTGTGTTGCAGGTCTACCAGGCAGAGTGCAGTGGAATCCTCTGGTGCTGCCGTCATGCCGTTCCCGTTTGGCAAGTCTCACAAATCTCCAGCAGATATTGTGAAGAACTTGAAAGAGAGCATGGCTGTTTTGGAAAAGCAGGACATTTCTGACAAAAAAGCAGAAAAGGTATGCATCTGACTTTATTAAGGACCAAATACAAAATAGACTTGTGGTAACTAAAAAAAGAAAACAATAAATTTCCATTTGGATGTAATTGGGTTATTTTTTAAATAGGGTTTCATTCTGTAGCTCATGCTGGTCTGGAATGTGGTGTCTTCTGGGTGCTGGGATGTGATTGCTGATGTGAGCCACAGCACCCAGTGTTCATTTGCTCCACTCTGATTCTTGAGAGCAGTGTTTCCACTAACCTGGGATTGGGCATTAAACTCACAGCTACGCATGTGTGCTGGGCAAGTGGTCGACCACCAAGTGACATTTTCTGCTCCTGGTTTTCCATGTTTTTTTTTGTTTTGTTTTGTTTTTGTTGTTTTTCTCTCAATCCATAACATCTCCATCTACTTAATCACTACAGTCAAAAGCCTGGTTTTAATCCCAGTCAGGCCTTGCCCACTCTTCTCAGAAGAATCCTGTGTGTTCTGCTCCCTGAAGAGCTTGGAATAGAGCCTGTGATTTCCACTTTTTCTTGAAGACAATCCTTGTAATCTTTCTCATGAACCTTAGCAGTTATTCCAGGCTCCACGAGGTCAGATAATCAAATAGACTAGAATGTCTTTGTCTTGTTTTTCCCTCATTCACCCATTTCCACCAAAGCCCCGTTCATCTTTCAGAACCCTCACATGTATTTCCTTTTCTTAGTATAGAGTCTCAGAATCTTCCTTCTTCATCCTACTCCTGCCCAACAAAACAAATCTCCTCCATTTGGGCACTTGTCTTGAAATGTCAGAACTGCCACCATCTTCAACTTGTTAACTTGTGTTTTGTCCCCCTTGCTAGTCTGAGAGCTCCGAGCACTGTCTTAATGTTCCTTTGTGCCGTATAGGGTGCCTTAGAGTAAATACCCATTATTTGTGAAGGAGTGGTAGGATGAAATCTCCTACCTTATCTTTATTTAAGAGATTTTTTTTTTCCTGTCTAGGGATGAAAACTAGGTTTCTTAGCCACGACCTTTTTGTTGTTGTTGTTTTTAGATAGAATGATGTAAACATGGTTTGATTTGAGGTCCTTACTGTTTTTAAGTGAATCTGTAGAACATGTGACTGATAACTTCCTATTCTGAATGGTCCCAGAGAGGCTGAGATGTCTCAGTGTTTAAGAGAGCTTGCTACATCTGAATCTGACCACCCACAATTGCTTGTAATTCCATTTCCAGGGTTGTGGATGCTTGGAGTTCCTCCTCTGTACTCTGTGGGCACCTACACTCAAAACATGTACATACCTGCACACATAAACACAGAAGTAAAAATAACATAAATCTTAAATAGCCCCAGAGTCTTTGGCTGTGAACTGTTGTTTTTTGCTGTTCCTTGTGGCTTTACCAGTGTCTTTTGATGTATGGCTGACTGACCTTAGCGATATCCCATCTCCTTTTGTTTTCTTGTCCTGTTTAATATCTCCAGTGCTCTTTGGACCAGGAAAGCAGACTGATTTGAAGTTGGGGGGGGTGGGAGAGAGAGAGAGAGAGAGAGAGAGAGAGAGAGAGAGAGAGAGAGAGAGAGAGAGAGAGAGAGAGAGAGAGAGAGAGGAGAGAGAGAGACTGTCTGTGTCTATCTGCCTGACTGTCTAAAAGAACTGCTGATAAAAGGCCAGTGCTAGCATGAACACAGAATGCAGAACTGTCCCATCTTACTAAAATGGTTTAAGATGTAAAAATAGAAGAAGCCTAGTTCCAGACAATGGAAACAGGTATCCTCAGAAAATTAGAGGGCTGTTAGCAGTACCACAGCAACACTAGCAACTCAGAGGACAAGAGGGTAAGCTTGCATACCCTCTCACTATTGGATACCTACACTTGTATAAAACAGCCAGCAGCCCTAGTAGTCCACAGGGTCTAACTTGAAGTAGAAGTAGCTACAGCTAACAAGAAGCAGGGCTGAAGCCAATGAACTGACCAGCTTGTCTTAGACAGCAATGTGAAGGAGAATAGACCCCATAGGAGAGTGAGTCATGCCTGCAGGATTGCCTTGGGCTGTTCCTTCATTCTTAAATTGTTGATCATTGAAAGTATGTGTGTATTCCATGATTCTTCTTTTGCTGTGCCTAAAGATACAGTCCACTCCTTAAATTCATTCTGTTTATCAAATAAGTAAGAGTGTGTGTGTGAGAGAGTATGAGATTCTGAGGATTAAGTCACAGCTTTGCAAATGCTGGGCAAGTAACTCTGCCACTGAGCTACACCACGGCCTCTCATCGACCTTACTCCATTTTCGAAACTAGGAATATCATATGTACAAGATGGACAAGGTCTTTGCTTTTGAGAGCCTCCTTTCTAGTTGAGAAGGATGGATGATGGACACACTGAAACCAGAATTTCAGGTAGTAGTAAGATGTATATCTCACAAAAGCAATAAAGTAGATTAATAGAGCATAGTGAGTGCTTAAGCTTTTTTGTTCTCAAGACATCTTTATACTCTCCAATTATTAAGACCTTAAAAAAAAAAAAAACACAATGTAAGTGGAATTACATTGGTATTACCCCATTAAAAATTAAAGTCAAGAAAGGTTTGTTTGTTTTCTTGGTTTTGTGTTTGTTTTGAGACAAGGTTTCTCTGTGTAGCCTGGGCTGTCCTAGAACTCACACCGTAGACTAGGCTGGCCTCAAACTCACAGAGATCTGCCTGTTTCTGCCTTCTGAATGCTGGGATTAAAGGTGTGCACCAATACACCAGAAAGTGATAAACACATTTCAGTTTAACAAATAACATTTTTATGGAAAATAACCATATCACCAGAAATGAAAACTTCAGGGAGAAGAGTAGCATTGTTTTGAAGCAGATTTTAAAATCTCTTTTACTCTGCTGATAGAAGACCATTGGATCCTCACATTTGTGCTGGCATCACTCTTACACATTTTGTTGGTTTAAGTATATAAAGAAAATCTAGCCCCTTATAGACTTACATGGATATCAGACCTCTTATGAAAAAGAGACGGATTGGGCTACAGAGATGGCTCAGTGCTTGCTGCTCTTGCAGAGGACCTGGTATCCATTCCCAGCACTCACATGGCTTCTCAGAACCATCAGTAATTCCAGTTCAGGGGACCTTACACCCTCTCTAGATCTCTGTTGTGGGCTCCTGCATACATATGGTGAACTCATCCCATAACACATTTTTAAAGGAAAAATTTAAGAGAGAAAGTTGTTTATTAGAGAAAGCTGTTTAGTAGCACTTCAGATAAATTTGAATGTTTGATACAACATGAGAATTTGATAATTGGAGGTTATACACTTCCTTTTAACACTCAGTCATGTTTATAAGGAACCACAACACATTTCCCATCTTTCATAACAACTTGTGTACTTAAAGGACAAAATTTAATCACATTAATGACTTTCTGCTACTTCTTCATAGGCATTCATCTCTTCTCCCTCCTTGCACCCTCCTCCTCAGCCTATACTTTTCTCAAACTTGTGATCCTCCACCTTCAGACTTCCTTAGTACTGAGATTACAAGTGTGTGTGCCATTGTGCACAGGTCTCCTGGGCATTTTGGGGTGAACCAGCAGTCTCTTTTGACTAAATACCTAGTCGTGCAGGTTTAAGAAACTGCTACTGTAGTTTGCTGGTGCTGCCTTGCTGTGTGCTGGAGTATCAGCTCTTTAATGTGAATGGCAGTGCAGTGGGGGCAAGGCAAATGTCTTATTGATGTGAAAACCTCAGACCTTTTGGAATGGTCTCGTGGAGTCCAAGAGTCCATCCTTTTACAATGTACTGTGATAGTTATAGCAGAAAGAAACTGGCTACAGAGGTGAGGGAATAATCCTAATTTAGATGAGGTTTCAGAGGAAAATCTTAACTAAGACAGTGGTTTGATGGAAATGGTAGAAGAAAGTGATGGAATCCACATCCTCTACTTGACTGAATCAATGACTTCTTTGATTCACAGCTATTTTGTTCTCTTAGAGGACAGTTGGAATGCCAGGATCATTTTTGGTAATAGCACTAGGGGAAGGTTGCTACTGGCATTCAGTTAGTAAAGCCGGGGATGCTAAAATTAGAACAGCAACAAAGAATTACCCAGTGAAAATGTCATTAGTGTGGAGTTTGAGAACTCCCACTCTAAGCCAGCATTACACAAGAATAGACCTGCTATGAGTATAAAACAAACATGGGAATTTCTGAAGAGTAACTCCATGTGAATTACTTATTCTGAAACAGATTAAGAATAGAGGAGAAAACACCTGAGATTTCTGACTGATTTGTCAATCTCTAAAGGGAAATGGTGACTAGGGAACATGGTGAAAGATAGAGAACTGAGACATGAAAGCAGAGGAAAGCAGGAGTTTGAATATTAAAACTGAGAGCTACACTGTTAGTACAATGCTGAAGCATTGAACTCGGGAACTGGATGTAACCTGCTAACATTATACTAGAGATTGTAGGCAACACACAGAGAAATGGTGTACAAATTTAAAATATACCTATTATAAAGATGAGGGATTAACAATATTAAGCTATTAATAAATGTTGACAAAATGCAAGAAAAGCTAGGCCAGAAGTGTAGGCATGGTGACAGGTACCTTTAATCCCAGCACTTGGCGGAAGAGCCCTGTGTTTGAAGCCAGCCTGATCTACCTAGTGAGTTCCAGGACTACATAGAGAGACTCTGTCTCAAACAAATAAACAAAATGCAAGAGATGATAGGAAAAGTTAGGAGTGCTAAGTGAGTAGAATATCCAGCCTGCTTTAAATGTCAGCTGTAGAAAAAAGTGTGTCTGTGCCTGTATCAGTGTCATCTGTCTGTCTCATTCACTGTAACAGAAAGTACAAACTGTCCAGGAATACTTAATGAGGAATTATGCTAAAGCCTTTTCAGAAGCATAGAGTGCTGGACCCATGTCACAGATAAGGAGGTGAGATGCGCTCCAGATGCCATTTCTTCCCTGTGTCATTTTTAAGTCTAAGACAGTTCTACTCAGATCATAACAGAAAGAGTTGGTTTTTTTGTTT